GAAGCGAGATGCTGGCAAGTGGCTTTGTAGGTGGTTATCAGCCGGCACTGCCAACCGTCAACCGTTGTTTTTTGTTCTGGTTCTGGAACGTATGGTCTCTACAGAGGAGGGTGCGTGCGCCGTGCCGATGTCGTCAGGAAGGGGTTGCGGCTTGTTCAAGGACTTTAACTTGACACGGTTTCAGAGTTTGGAAGGATGAAGAAAGTGAACCTTGAAATAGAAAATTGGTTGGTGAGCTCGTTTGGGTCGTTTGACTGTCATGTTGTTACTGTCGTTTTGGTATCCATACTGCATACTGTGCTGGCTTCGTCTCTCAGAACTGTAGTCGTTTTGAGTGACCGGAAAATACAACATACTGATTTGTGTACAAAAGAGTGCATCTCAACGCAATTATCCAAGATAATGTGATTCCCAATCCACTGACAAGCAAGCTAGAGTTAGAGTATACCACGTCCATATTGGAAGGCTACCATCAACAACCACCAGGCGAATTTAGGAGATCAGATATAGACTATATATCCCTCGCCACGTGAGTGCTGGCAAATCATACACATGAAGTCCGCACTCTTTTCGTAAGGAGAACCATCTTCTTCAGAAGGGTCCATAATAATAGCTTCTTGCTACTAGTAGCGGTGCCCTTGTGCCTAGTAGCTTCTTGCTACTTGCTAGTAGTAAGGCCAAGAAGCTTGATGCGTTCCATTTGTCGGGCCACTGACGGCTAGCAGACTAGTCTGTTGGGCCACGGTGCCACCCTGGCCAGGCAGCACCCGTTCTGGTGGCAGGCAGACCGTGTCATTGGGGATGCAGTCCTCAACGTTGTCGTCAACATATTTTATATGCGTAATCGATTATAATAGACCTCCATGGTCGTTGCAATTCCTTCCTGGTGCTTTTGTTGCTGTCCTTAGTCTCGGGGTGTTATGTCCTTAGTCTCAGGCTGCACCGACCTCGTTGTCCTTGTTCTTTCGTAGATCGATGCCCGCTCTCCCGGATCGAAGTTGGTTTCGGGGCGGAATCGGCGTATGTTGGGGTCACCTGGTGTAGCGCAGTTGCACTGAAGTATCAGCTGTCCGTTCCACCGAAGTTCAGTGATGTGCGGTGTACTTCCATAGAAGTGAGTTTACTGCCACCAGGTAGGGTTGCTGTCCAAAACGGACCACTAAGTGCTAGGGTAACTTCCTTTACCTATACGTGGTGCTACTTAAACCATTGGTTACAACATGCTACAACTTAGAAGATCAGAAAGAAGAAAACCAACCAAAAGCAAGGCAACGAAACAAACACACAGACCACTTTGTTCTATCCACGGTGTCCCAGAAAAAATAGAGCGAGCGCCCCGAGCCTTGATCTTGACCGAGTTCATCGGTCCTTTGACCAGGCGGCTCTAAACCGGATCTCCTGGAGCACTTCGTGCAATGCTGTGGCCTAATCCCCAGGAGTGAAGGGAAGACGCGAACTGACGCAGGGCACATGGCACGGTCTGATTCGATTCGGGACATTGGTCAAACTGGACATTGGTCAAACGGGAATGTGCGTCCAAACCGGTGAAGCAGAAGATGTCCGGACTTTGTGCATGGACCTATCTTTGTGGACCATCAAGATATAAATATTATAAGAGGTTCCTCTATACATCTACGTGCATTCTACGGCCCGAGAAGGTGTTGGGGATGAGTTGGGAGAGTCCAAGTACCTTCCTTAAAAGGTGCTTCGAGCTGTACATCACGAGGCTCCAGGGTCTAGACGCTGTACAATACCCAACCCCAACGAAGTTAAAAATTGTGAGCTGCACAAGATGTGGACTTTGACCCTGAATTGACCCATAAATCGGTCACACAGGCGTGGTCAAGCGTTCAAATCTGAATTGTGGTGTATTTGGGTGTCATCTTAGATTTGTTTAAATATGTCTTGAGAGCCTGCCATTGCAGCCGGGTGTGGATCGGAATCGGCGATCAACAGGTCTTGAGACCTCCGCTCGGCCGTTTCGACCAGGTGGACCGACCCAAGGCGCCTTGCTCCAGGCTATTCTGCAAGGCGCACAGCAGTGCGATCCCAGGTGTTGCAGCCGGAAGGAACAGATCAGACGTGTGTATATATCTTGATATAGGAAGACCAAGGCCCCCCTGGCCCCCAAAAAACATCTCTTTTTTGGGGGGTCTCCCTATTTGAATACTTAAAGCCGTGTTGGGTTGTGCAATAGGAGGTTCAATCGTGTCACGTGTTTTTTTTTGAAAATGGTGCGGCTGCTGTCCTGCCATGGGCGATAGTTTGTTTACGGGAAGGAACTAAATCCACTCTTGCAGATGGGCTTTGTATATCTTCGTATGATCTTCGTATTCTTTGAGTTCAAGACAGCAGGTATACAATCCTCTCAGAAAGCCCATAGTTTCCTGTGATCTGTGATATGTGTCTCCCCTCTGGCGCCTCACCTCTGTTCGCAGTGGTCTAGAATCCTGAAGTGACCCTGTTTTGTTCGACTTGTTTCCGAATGAGAGGTCACCCGGGATTGTTTGGAGAGACACATGTCATACCATGGCAGTCCATGTCATACCATGAAGTGTTTTGGGGACCAACGTCGCTTTGGTCACTTTGATCGTGTGCTCACATCGTGCAAAAAGAGCTACGAGTGGGCGACGGCATTTGTCTACAGTGGTTGTATTTTTAATAGGGAGGCACCCCAACCAATGGGTAGACTAGTAGTTTAGTTATTTCCCTTCTTCCAGGCGTTGAACTGGGAGGTCTCTCTATTTCAATACACAACCTGGTTCTACAGAGTTGTAGTGACATTGTATATATAGACCCCTCCAAATAGATAGAAAAGTAGAATCCCTTTCAATGTATGTGTTGGGAAACCGTGCCATCCTAGGCCCTACACCCACCAAGGAGACCAACAAAAATCTAGGAACGGTGTGTCCCAGATTTCCGGCAGTCACAGTCACTCGTCTGAGAATGGTCTATCACCATGACCTAGATCATCCTCCGGTCCTCCGGGCCGGCCCCACCGGACCCACTGGGGTCCGAACACCACGGACGCGCTCCCGTCCGCACGGCGCAAACGGACGGCGAGGCATGGAATTCGGCGCGGAAACGGCAGGACGGGGGCGTGTCGACCCTCCACGGGCATGGGTGCTGTGATCTCTTGGTGTCACCGGAATCTGGAAGGTACTTATTCAGGTCTTTGACGTGTTTACAATGCATTCTATAGAAAAGTAAGACCGATCCTTAGATCCTTAAAGGATGTTCAACAATTTAACCAAGTCCAAGGGTTCTCTTACAATGCGTTAATTCGATCTCGCTTAGGTGTGAAGGTGCTCCCTGGGTATCATGGAAGAAAGCTCTTCCGGCTGGAAGAGTTCAATGGTCAAGTCTAATTTGTTTGATTTGCAGCTCCGGCAATCTAGCCCGGTGTGTGCGTGGATGTTGAATGTAACAATATGGACATGTATGGTGTCTACCCTTCCAGAGGGTGATTGGAGATGTTGAATTTGGGTGCCTTTGTCCGGTTCAGTCGTACCTTTGTTTCGCAGCTGGATCTCTAAACACCATGATCTAAGGGCTTCTGTGGTCTTCAGTCTTGAGGTTCGCTCGGCGGCACCGTTGGGAACCGTGGGCTCCTTGACAGGACGTCGAGCTTGAGAGGGTTTTTGTTGGTGCTGCGGTTCGCAGTCACCAGGGCAGTGAAGCAGACCCAGTTGAACACGACCTGTGGGGCTTTTGCCAAATTTGCATTTGACATGGAAGATGGCAGATTCTTTTGTGGCAAAGTTGATGTCCAATGCCAAGAAGAAGAGCTCGTCCTGCAGTGTGATCGTCACCAGCTCTGAGGCATTAAATATGTCGGAGAGATGCATGAGATAGAATTTCATCGGAGAGATTTGATGGCATTCCACACGATAGGCGACATGTTGCTATAGCAACGTATACCAGCAGTCACAAAGGGATGGTTTTTGGTCCCATCCAGTGAGTGGACAATGGGCACCCCTATCCTCCAAGTTCGGCACCCCTATCCTGACTGCTGGTATTATGTAATATATATATATATGTATATATTGTTTTTGTTGCCCTTGCTTTGCTTGTATCATGTTTTCTGTGACACCTCTTCACATCGTGGCTCGTCGATGCTGCGTGATGCAGCTGTGGCGCGTCGCGTGGGTCGCCATCCATCTCGATTTGTTTCCAGCAGCGGCTGAGGGTGAGAGTGGATGTTGAGGACCTCCTCCAGTCGCAGCTCTCTGCGGCAAGCGTGGGCTGAGCGGCGGTCGGTTTGGCTGCCTCCCATGTGCTGCTGGGGTGCAGCACCAACCTACAAGAGGCATGGGCCAGCCATCTGCAGTCCGTCAACTGACCTGGTTGAGAAACACATATTATCCTGCTTTATGGGAAAGAGTGCTCAGATCAACAATTGTGCACGGAATGTGTGTCCTTTTCTTGTACTTCTGAATTTCTGATAGCGGGCAATGCCCACAGACAGCACAACAACAGAAAAGAACATACATGTCTGAACATCATCTTCTCAACCAGACCCCATGTCTGCTTCCAGAGCAACGGCTCGATCTGCGCGGGTAGAGAAAGGTGCCAGCGCCCTTGGGAGGATGGATTTGGGCGCTTTGGATGATCTACACACTCCGGTTTTTCGCCAGAAAGCCCCAGAAATCACATCACGCTGCACCCAAGAACCACTCCGAAGTGCATGACAAATGCATGATGTTTTGGGGTATTTTGGGGTTCGCATGATGGGAAAACGTATGGACAACGAGGAGATTTGGTTCTCATGCGGCAAAACATGTCCAGTGTTTTCCGCCGGGGCGTCCGACCCAAGAGGTTGCTTGATGTGGCTGTGGCACCGTCCCGGAGCGACCAGTTCGCTCTGGTCAGACCAAGGGGAACAGTTCACCAAACATGAACAGATGGCTCTTCACAAAGGATATCAACCTTCCATGGTTTAGGTTTTAAACGACTCATCCTGGGCGTGACATGATCCGACTCATCCTGGCCGCGCCGAGGCGTCCGAAGTGGACTGGGGCGCTCAGGTGGTGCGAGCACGACAGGTGGTGGCCGAACGAGCACCACTCATTCAACAGCAGCTGTCTCAGGTGCAGATCGGTCACGCGTGTGATTTCGCTTGCGCGGATGATGGGAGTGGCGAGCGGAGTGGTGGTCTTCGCGTTTTGGTGTGTTTGTGAGCGTGCAAATTGGTCCGCACCAAAAGTGGGTTGGTGGGTTGGTGCTGGGCGACGGTGTTGAGTAGTCGATCCAAAAGAACAATCTGAGTGGATGCTAAATGATGGAGATCTTATTATATTATAGCAAAGACACCAGGGTATGTAAGAGTGTCGTCGTTTTATGAAACTCAACTAATTTATGTCACTATGACTATAATATAGTTGTTTTCTGAAAACATGCTGTTCATGAGTTTGCCTGTCACTTTGCACAGTCAGTAGTGTAACAAAAGGGTGTTCAAAAAATGAGTTATGCCATGTTGGCGCAGTTTTGCGCCATTTCGTGTTTTGCGTTTCTTTGGGGGAAGCTGTTGGTTGGCTACTCCAATTCTCTCCAAAGTCCCAAACATGCTACACTACAGAAATGTCCGCCGCTTGCCCCAAGGACTAGGTGTTCCTCGAAACAACCCAAATTGACATACCAAGGACAGAGATGTAGGTCCATGCACCAGGATCCCGACCTGAACTTGAGAAGCCATGAGAAGCACCGGTTACGCACGAACTTGCCCTGGGCGAGGATTTTGTCGCCGCTCGAAGATGCAGAAAGGAACAATTTGTTTTGCTATCTTTTGCTATATATTGGCAACTCTTATTGTCGTTGTGTATTGCCATAGATGTGAGGTTGGTTTCAGTATATGGGGTTTACATGGGTTTACCTATTTTACACACTGTACATCAATCAAGTGCACAAAAGATTCCAAGCAGCAACACCACCTGTCATAGTTGAACTTTTGAACCATACAATAACCACTTTGGGATTCTACGGCACGCGATGTGTTTTTTCCTTCATCAGTCTCTCTCCCGGTCCCAGTGGATCCCGAACACCTGAAGTGAAAGCTTTGGGGCAGACGCGAACAGGCACGACCCAGGACAAGTGCGTCGTTATTGTTTTCTGTGTGGAAGATCGGGATTTATTAGAACTATCCAAGTAAAAGTCGACTCCAAAAAAACGTTTGAACGGTCGACCTTGTTGCGTCCTTTTGTTCGATTACTCTTGGCTGGCCGGCAAAGATTTTGGATTTATGGTTTCGTATCACTCGGCGTTCTGTGGTTTCAAACCACCTGGTTTCTCGATCACGAGCTGTGCATGTGCGCCGTTCGCATGCGGCCCGGAACCGCGCCAGGCCACGAGTGCCATGGCCGAGGCGAGAACGGACGAAGCCAGGCATCAGGCGGCGCCCAGGTGGTAAGGGACAAGATGATGATTTTTTTCATAAATGAATGACATCCAAAAAAAGTACAGCAGAGATATACCAGGGGCCTTCAAGGGGTGGTAGAGATGGACACCCCTTGCCTCACAGCTTTTTGGGGGGCTATAGTCACAGACACCCCGAACGAGTCGGGTTCTGGTAGAGACATCGAACTCCGAACCGCGTCGATTGCGGCGGTTCGGACGGACCATGGGAAGAGCGGAAGAGCTACGTCGCTAGCGTTTGAGCAGGATGTGTTACTAGTAGCGTCCTTGCTACTACGTAGTACCGATGCACCTTGTTACTATATAGTAGTGGTACGTGTTGGTGTTTTCGCCCAAGTTTGGGTGCCCGGGAGGTGTAGGTCCATGACATTTACACTCCGACGAGAACATCACATCGAAGTGGATGGCATGGCCCGTTGAATGACTATTCTCCGAATACCAAACAGGTGGTGCCCTCCACTGAGTCAGAGGGTAACCCAAGAGTACGCAATGTAAACATGGTAGAGATTGGGCATCCAGTGGTTTTGTATTTCTCATCATGTCCGACATGCCGCTTTCTCATCGTGCATGTGTGACACCCGTTTCTCCACCGCCGTGTGGCAACCTCGCAGTTTGCTCCAAGCACCAGAGAGGTGAGTTGTTTTGGAGCCAACACCCTCAGCTGCCATGGGTTCGGCGGCCAGCGCAGTGACCCACTTTCCCACGGAACAGACTGGAAGACACCGACCGCGACCGCGAGAGAAGAAGACGGAGACTTGGAGTGGTGTCAAAGCAAAGACCGTGAACATGCCGAAGAAAAGTGTTTTTTTGTTCATAAGAAGTTGAGTTCTACGCTGAGATCATGGAGGTTCAATGAGGTTCAGGGTTGACGAACACGCAAACAGCCACATGGGTTGATGGTTGATGAAAAAAGAACGAAACCATGAAGTTGCATGTTGTCGGGTAAACCTTGTCTTTGAATCACCGTCCGTCTTTGTTTTGTGTTTAAACATAGACCAGTCCTTTGGACAGCACCTCCGCAGGGGACGGCCTACGACTGACCCGTCTCCATCGATCCGATTTCGGGTCGGGGACCGTTGGACTCATCGTATCTCCCGGATCCATTCGGCGTCGTGGGAAGATCCGAGTACTTCAGGTCTTCATTTCAGTCCAGGTCTTCGGAGTGATCTTTGTTTTGAATGTTCAACTGCCCAGCTACAATATGTTACAATCGGATTAGGCTGTGTTGCCTATGGAACTGTTGGATATGTTTTGCTCGCGGCAATAGCTTGATCACCACACGCAGCAAATGGCTTCCAGAGAAAGGAATACAATGTTGAATACTGAATAACAAACACCTCATAACACCTCCATTTGGATTGTAAAGTCTCTTCTACCTCTCGCGCTCGCGGTCACTCTGGGACGAGCATTGCCGTCAGCTGCCACTGACTGGCAAACAAGAAACCACAACGCACCTGCGAAGCAGGTGATACCCTAAAAAGAACATCACTCATGAAAGGAAGGGAGCGACAGGAAAATCCCATGTCGATAAGCATTGTCCGGATACCCTTTGGGTGATCGAGACAAGAGTTTCAAGCTCTGAATTGCTAAAAAGTGGCGCAGCTCCTCTTATGACACCCGATGGCATCGTCTTACCCCATGCATTGTGGTCCCCGCGGGACATGCAGGCCAGGGTGGAGAGCAAACGAGAGCTTACGTCGGCAAAAAGACAGGCGCCCTTGTAACCAACGAATGATGGCTCGAAAAGTGACATGTTCGTCCTGCATAAGCTGACATCGTCCTCCTTTCAAGACAAAAAGGACTGCGAGTTCGGCATACGAAATCTGACGCTCTGGCGAAACTTTCCACTTGACTTTGTGCACAAACACTCCAAGTGCTTCCCAATCTTCGGTGGGGAAGTCCCAACGCAAGGGGGGTTGGGATGGCCAAACTTGTTGAAATGTCCATGTGTACTCTGCTGCCACAGGATCCCGAGTGCGGGAAACAACTCTCTGGCAGCACGATGCTTCACATCACGGCTTTCTTCAGCTTCTTGAAAAGGTCGGACGGAAACACCGAGCGTGTAACACCGAGCGTGTACCAACCATTCTTGCCGTTCAAGTGTTGCTCGAAGACTTGGGGGTGATGCGCAAAAATGGGTGAATTTGCAAGGGCGGCTTGTTTAGCAGCGAAATCAGCGGTCCTGTTGCCCAAAATGTCTTGACATGTCGAACGGCAAGCCTGCGCTTGCTGCTCTGTGATTTCTGCAATTGGAATGCCTTCCAACACGTGTGAAGGGATCCATGTGATACGCAACGGCTCATTGTGCATGGTGCGGAGCTGCTGCCATCTACGAAACAGAAATTGCCACCACGAATTCCAGGCCCAGTCGGGACTTATGCTCTCATGATCAATCATGTACTGAGTTTGTCGGGGTGTTTGATTAATCAAGAGTCTAGATTTCACACTTAGATCATGTTTGCACGCGAGCTTTCACCCCTGCATACATTCTACAATTCTAGGAACTGTTCGTTCATACTATACTCTCGTAGCAACGAAACTCAAGGGCTGCTCAGCAAGACTGAAAGACAGAAGCTGATGCCTATGCCAAAGATCCTTCCATCCTCGATTTGTACATCACATCACTTCCTTCAACCCAGGAACGATCGGTCATTTTTCTGAAAAACTGGGGGGTGCCTCTATGCTGGGCCAACATTCCACAGTGGATGGATTTGCTCGCTCTGATGTTTCATCCCCCAAGGATTTGACACAAGAGGCCTGCCTTATTCAGCCTAAGCAGGCTCCTGTGCCCGAGGCACGTGCGTCATCGCGTGGACTTCACCGCCTCGGATCCGTTGCGGTTCCCGCGTTGGACGTGAAACGTGGTCCAAAGGACCGGAGGACCGTGCAGGGACCCTTCAGTCTCATGCAGGGAATGTACAGTAGTTTGCCATAACTGGTTTTTGCGAGTGGTTGACAAGCAGAACATTGTTTTGACCCTTCATTTTGCAGGAAACTGGTAGTTGTGGATCATGTGGCCGGGGTTCACTTGTTCGGAAGACCTGTATGTGATTCACCTTAACACCATTACTAGGGAGCCCCTCTTTTCGACGTGAGTGACGCACAAGACAGGCAAGCAAGGCAAGACCCATCCTCTTTGAGATCTCCCAAGAGGAGCAGATTGACTGATGATTCGCAGCTGAAGTCTTACAAGTCACTGGGATGGTTTCAGCTCATCGCCTGGGAAAGCTCATCACGAGATGTGTGTGTGTGTGTGCGTGTGTGTTCCTCTTGGCGTCTTGCATACTTTTGGGATGCTCAGAAAAGAGAGATGCTTACATTGCGATGCCTTGTGCAGAGTTTCTTTGTGGTCAGTGTTTTGGGAGTGGAACATGAGGGAACCTGAGGGAACCTCTGGGGTCTCTGTCTCGTTCTGTCTCCTTGGTCCCATGTTTTCCCCCATTGCAACTTCATAAAGAGGGTGCCTCTGTGGTACGACTGCTTCGGAGCGGCTTGTGGCCCTCGATGAATTTCGCCATGGAAGTTGGGACGATCCTTATAGCATCAGGTGACCAGGTGGTTGTTGAACAAGATCATGTTATGTTTAAGGGACGTGATACCTATATAGCCTAGAGCATGTTAAGCCCACTTATTTCCAATCAAACAACTCTTGTATACTTGGATTCTCCAACATCAACAAGAACAGTTTGGAGGCCAACCAAGACGAACAGAACCATTTTCCTTAGAGTGTCGCAAACAGACGCGTCATCCTTCCGCGTGTTCAGGAGGGTTGGGAGGTGCGAGGGAAGAACTGGGCCATAGAATCCCAAAGCATTCTGTCCCAAAACAGGACCTCATGAATGTAGTTGTGGTTCAAAGCTAGCAGACCCTGAGCCCTGAGTGGCACCACCTGAGCTATGTGGAAAGTCGTTCGCACATGGTGGAGGTTTTGACCTATCCTCAAGTTGGAAGAGAGCGGCGGTGGTGTTTTTCTCGATGTTTTTTCGTTTTTATTGGCCACTCGCTGACAGGTCGTTTGAGTGGCCAGATGAGGACAAGACTCCTCTCCAAGCCTTGCCACCTGGGCGGGAAGAGCACGAGCGGAACCTGCGCCGGGTGAAGAGATTATCACGATCGGCCAGGAGCGGCCGCGGAGCAACCTCACTGGGCCCAACCCGCCGGGCATACTGCAGGGATAGCTCACCCTGGGCACTGGGTGAGTATCCTCTGAACTTCAGAACCCATAAATAATTCGGTTGTGTTCCTTTACAGATGATGTAATTATACTTGCAATATCTTGCATTCCGTTCTATCGGTCTTTCCGCGGGAATGAGAATCCAGCTCTTCCGAGCGCATCGCCTCATCTGATCTGCCAGGAGATATCCCCGAGCCTTCCGCGTCATTGTGGGACGAGACTCGTCGTCCGAGTCGGAGGGTGAAGCGCCCTGAGACGGAGACGGAAACCATCGCGATGGCCGCGAGGGTGGAGTCCACAGATGGTTAAACGGCGCTGGATCCAGTGAAACTGGTTCGCCATGAAAGTGGCGCCCAGCCTTTTTGGTTTTGAACCAGCAAATCCAGGAAGGTGTTGGACAGAGGCCTGTGAAGGAAAAGTCATCGGACCAGATCCTGGGGGTGCTTGCGCGTGCAAGCCTAAGATGCCCTGCAGGATTTTCATGCAGTGACCGGGTCGCTGCAGGTCCGTGAAGGTTGTGGCAGTTCACTTGGCGGACCCAGAACCTGTTGGACCCTCGTTGCCCAGTGTGGTCTTTTCCTCCAGGGTCAGATGGTTCTGGGCAGATATTCCAACAATTGAAGTATGGATCGTTGGACCTGCCATACGTTTTTCTACACCTTCAAAGTGAGCAGGCACCTCAGACAATATCAACAAAATGCAACAAATTTATTCATTATTCAAAAACCAAAGGAATGCAACGTTGGATCCCATCAAGAGGGCCACCATGAAGCAAGAGCCGAGCAGCCGAGTGTAGTGCAGCGCGGAACCAAGAAGACTTTGTCATCTTCCGAAGGCCGACCATCCCCATCCAAGGTTTTGCCATGATGTGGGTTTATTTCAAAACGAGGAGACGCCCCAGGGGCCTTTTGTCCCTGCGAGATGTGTTTTGTCCTTCCGAAGCTACTGTAGCAGAATTCAAACTGAGACGCTCTTGGCACAGAGTTTGGACACTGCAGCTGATACTGGTACAATACAGTCTCCTCAAGAAAGGAGAAACCCACATTGTGACTTGTGTTTATTTCTTATGAAGCCCTGGGAAGAAGCGCTTTTACTTCGCAAACTTCGGGCTATTTGAGAAGCTCTTCCTTGCAGCAAAGCTGTCCGCAGGAAGTTCTGATGGTCGAAGGAGAGATCTGATGGCAGGGTCATAGATCCGTGGGATGATGGTGATAGATTTGTAGGTAAAAACCTTGGCAACAGACATATTGGATTTACGATTACGACCTTGGTACCTTTCCAACTCAGTGCGACTCGGGACTGGTGTTTCTGAAGTCAGACACAAGCTCAGCTCTTTCGCACCATCCACCGGGATCTTTGCCTGCTCCTTCGTTGCCGAACCAATATTTTCTTGATCAATGAGGGGTGTCACAAAATCACCTCAGAATCTCTGCCCGCCAGACAAGCTGGAGAGTTTGAACCTTGTCGGCTTTCTTCGACAGCTAAATGATGATCCCGGCTGCTGACACATCTTCCGCTCAACACTTGGCCAACCCTAATCATCATTGGACCCTTCTCTTATCTGAAGGATGTTGACATGTTTTGGACCTTTGGGTCCAAGAGACTGCCAACCGCGGTGCCCACCGCGGTGCACCGCTGAAAACGTCTTCGTCGCTGTGTCCAGGCGGCCGCCAGTGCTGCGGCGGCCTTAGAAGCCCAAGCGAAGGACCCGGTCCTTCGGGGGTACCGAGCGAGCTGTGCGCTCGCTCCGGCAGTGGAGCGGTCGGTGTCATTTCTGTGTTGAGATCGAGGAGGTTTTATGGAGTCGGACTCAACCCCCCGTGAAGTGCAAGAGATTGCGAAGTCCTTCAGGTTTCAAGCACGAATGAGTGTCCTGGTGTGTTTTGTTGGCCTTGCATCCCTGAATCTTCGTGCGGAAAGACTCGTTCTGTGCAGATGATGTCTCGCACCCGGCTGGGCGCTGGTCTCCTCCTTTGGAAAAGCTCGTGTTTTATTTTTTCCTGCAAAACATGGAATCAGTGACCCACCTTTGCAATCCACATCAGCGACCTTGTGTAGACTCCCAGTCAACACGCGTCTCGGAAGGCACCGAACGGATCCATGTGTTTTTTCCTGTTGACCTGGAAATGGTGGATTCCGACGAAAGGGTTCCGTGTCATTTGCCCCACCGTGTCGTTGAATCTTAAAGAGTTGAGTTCGCTTTCATCAAGACCCTACATAATTACTACTAGGTGTAATGTGCTGTGGGTGATGGTAAGAGGTGCTCGACTGTTTGAGGGTGTGGGACTAGGCATTTCACGCTCATTTCTGCCAGGAGAATGAAGAGGTCCAGGCAGACCATTGTCGCACCGGTTCCGGGTGACTTTCTTATCAAAGCCCAAGGACATCCAAGGGCCAAAGTGCTGGGAGAAAGGGGGACTTGGTTCATTGAGACACATGGACCACATGGATATGTTTTGTTTTCAGTTTTTTTGGAGGTCGGGCTTTGAATTAAGCTTTTGTAACTTGTTCAGAGCGGGGTCAAGAGGTGATGAACAGCAACAATCTGTCAAAGACGATCTCTGGAGTGTGGGGAAAGGACTTCTTCCAACAGGCTGATGGTAAGGTCTCCATTGGTTGGGATCAGCCATAGGGCATCCTTCTGCCTACTGAAAGAAGACAGCCCGCACCACCTGAGATAGGGACATGTGGGGAAAACGATCGTACTTCAGGCATTCGGTGTCGTGTCTTCCATCAGTAAATCTACGCTACACATTGCACGTCCAAGCATGAGAACTTTCACAGAAGCTACGCATTGCATCCACATGAGGGACATAATGACATAAAGTGTTGGCTCCCTGTTGAACTGTTACTGGTCTTTTATCACCCAAACGAACATGACTTTCCGGGCCTTTGGGTCGATTCATGTCCGCTTGTTGAGCAGAATCGAACGAATCGGCCAACAATCACATATATGTTGCTTAAAAGGAGAAAAAACACGTTTCCCTACCTGTCAGGCAAGGGGTGGTTAGATTTTAGAAGAGGATCCCGCGAATCCTTCTCCTCCTCTCCCTCCTCGCCTCAACAACTGCCAGCTCCAGATCGCAGTGGGCACTCCCGAACCTCTATAGCAAGCACCAGACCTCAACAGCAAGCTCCAGATCCCAGTGGGCACTCCCGGACTTCAACAGCCAGATCGCAGTGGGCACTCCTGGACCTCAACAGCAAGCGCCGGATCCCCTTCGAAAATCTTCGAAATATATAGGCCATATAATCGTGTTGTTGTTGTTGTTGTTGTTGTTGTTGTTGTTGTTGTTGTTGTTGTTGTTGTTGTTGTTGTTGTTGTTTTGTAGTACTTGGTCAAATAGTTTTTTGTGGCTTTACTTGGAGACGGTTACAAGCGAATGAGTCCCAGAGGAGGAAGCTTGTGTGGCCTTAAGCAGTACGGTCGAGATTGAGCAAAACTATGATGCCGTACACTTTGCAACCTCAGAGTCCGAGCCATTCCCCGCAAGCTTTTTTCCGATCAGAACCTGTGGCTTTGAACCTTTGGGCAGGTTCTTGTCTGGGGAATAACACATTGGAATGGATAGAGAGTGTAAGGTCTTGGCTTATTGTTGGGACTGCATGGAAGGGCAAAAGGGGACGGAAAAAGGACTCCTTCAGTGGGTGTTGCTTTGGGTGGACTGTATCATACTGCACGAATTGTTTTGGAAAACATGCTTGTCTCCCAACACTTGGAAGTTTGAAATCTGAGCCGTTTGCCACACGGTGAAGCTGGACCGCCAGCAAAGAAAGCATGTTTGTCACAAAAATGAAACTGGACAAACATCAGGAAAACTAATCCATTTTGCCTGTGATTTGAGTGAGACACCAGACCAGCTCCAGGCCCTTCCAACGGACACGGCTCCCACGGCCACAGCGGCCACGGCCACAGCGGCCACGGTGATGCCGCCAGTCCAGGTGCCGTGTGGAACGGTCCAGTGGGTGAATGAATGATATGATATCATATGATTTTTCATTGTTTCCACTCCCTCATCAATCATCTCAACACCATGTGTTTCTTAAGGGATGATTGAAGAAATCAGAAGAGATGCTGAACGTTGAATTGATGATTGATGTCTTCCATCAACAGAGGAGACGCAACCAAGGCACTCCACTACGCGAAGCACTCCCCCAGATTGCCTCATGTTTTTTTCCCATTCCAAGGGCCAATTTTGGGCCGGGGAGCTGTGGATGGGATGGACAAAATCTTCGGAAAAACACTGGTGGAATCAAGTATTTTGTAGGAATCTACATAGCTTCTCAAGAGGTACTAACCGGGCTACATCTAAGTTGATGTTAAGAGTCTTAGGTTTTATTGGTTTTAGATGTGTTTAGGTCTTTTATTTTAAGGTTTTGTTGGTCTCCATCACCTTCCCAGGCCGATGACGACGTCCAGGCGGATGACGAAGGGTTTTGAGATGATGGGTGCTGTGGTCAGGAGTATATATATATAGGATTTAGGCAAATCCTCTCCAAATATCTTTGGTAACAAGAGAAGTATCATGCATGGATCGCCCATTCATTTAAGACCGGCGCTTTGTTTTTCTATGAGGTAGCCAAAGCTCGACTTATCTCTCTATGAGGTGGCTCAAAACTCCACTTAAGATGAAAGACCACCAATCCATCGATTGGATGTTCTCCTTCCTGGGACTCCGATAGAATTCCACCGGTCGCAAGGTATCAGCTAAGTGATGGACCGTTTGAACGTTCTCCACAGTGTATGTTGCAGCACGTTGGATAGTCAGGGTGAGCAAACACTGAATCTCATTGTCTACAGATGACAAGTGCAAGGATCTGAAGCTTTGGAACCACACCCACATCCCTGAAATTTGAATTTGAGGCAAGTGTATATCACCAGAGCAGGTCTAGACGTGAGTCACTGCAGATTCAGGTGATTGTTTCCCAATGTTTGGATTGCCCTGCTTGACAAACCTAGGGTCATTGAAGGTGAAGATGTGTCCTTTTCTTTGCAGGTGCACTTAATCGAAAGAGAACCCTCTTGAAGCCCTGACAGTCCAAGACAATAGAAAGGACTAGTTATTGTTATACAATATAGGTGCCGCCAAGAGTCATTGTTTGCCCCTTTCTCCACGTGTAATCCTTGTTTGAGACCGTTTTACACAGCATTCTCTCTCAGACAAAGATATCAAATGAAACATGCTAATAGTCATGTGATTGATGTTTTCGCACCCTTTGTTTGACCAACATGGCAGGTTTTGTAAAAGGGCTTGTGGGAGTGTACAGATCATGTTCCATAGAGACCCGGATCCGTGGCGTAGATTGCAAAGGGTCGTTGACCCCAAGAAATATCTAACTGCAGAGTCTTGGGAACAGAATCCACTTAAGCCCGGGGAACCGAATGGGAAAGCATTCAGCTTGTGCTTGCCGCTTGGTTCGTCCTCTTTTTGGTGTGACCTATGACCAGAGTTGAAACCCATTTGAAGCTAGACATCTATATGATATGTTTATTGGCTTTGCTTGAGCCAACTTCAGGTCCACTTCGAAGCAGGTCCTAGCGAGGCAAGCGAGGCACGGTGCTGCCCAGAAAGCGTCCAAGCCACTCAGTCTATCAACAACCGTGAGCAACCCAGACAAGCAAGTGCCAATCATACACGATAAAGTGTTCAACAAGAAAGAGTCCAATCCACTCAGGGACAAGGATAGTTGGACAGATCAAAACTCTGCTGGGAGGTTCTTGATGAGATTATTGGGCTGATGAAGGAGGACTACGTTGCATGATTCTTGACCCTGTTCTTCTGCTTCCCCACACCGGAGAAGCGCGTAGGCTGCTTGAATCTCATTTGGATCTCATTGAGAATTATGGAGATATTTGCTTGCACACTCATAGGTCGAGTGATGATTTGAGTAGAATTCAGAGCCCAGAACCCCATGCTAACGTTTGGAGATGATTCTTCCTGTTACGAGTGGGTTTCTTTGGTATGGCAATTATTTTCAGCCATGCAAGTACCATGGACCAATGTCTAGAAATTGGAGAGAGCTTGGTCAGCGAATCTGCGAAATAGCTTCGCCAGGCCCCACAGCTGGTGCTTGCTCCCGAAGGTGGGTTGGAGGGACGCTGGGAGGTGTGAATATGGTTGGAGAAAACGGTGGGAAAATAGGAAGTGCTTTGGATGCAGTGCATCAGGACTTAGAGGATTTGACTTTCTTTTTAGAGCGGTGCATGTTCCTATCATAAGATGTGATGTGTGCCACAGCACCGACGTTGTTTCTTTTAGCGTACTGTAATATTTTTAGACAGGACTTTGCAGGACCTTGAAGTATTCATTGAGCAAGAATGAGCGAATCCGGCATGCCTTAAGGAATCCTGTGGACGATCTAGGACGCCCTTCAATTACCTTCAAGACAAGATTGGTAGAACAAAAGGATTACATAGGTGGGCAAATCATAATATTTTGAACTATTGTAGGGACCATACACACATGTTTAATGCGTTGTGCCGGAGTCATGCTTCAGCACTCTTGGACTATTTCTGCACTTTTCATCTTCATCCAGTCAATCGAACTCTGAACAAAACTGGAATACTGTGTATAGTATCCCCCCTTTCCTGCTGTCACCCCTGTCATGTTTCTCATCTCGGGGTCAGGGGGGGCTGAAGGGGGGGGCATTGGGCTTATCATGTAAGCTCTGGATAGGTGTGGCTCAGGTTGAAGGCGTATTAACATCTCAATAGAGGTCTATCAAAGGCCTATTAAGGGTCTACTAAGAGCTTATCAAATAAGCACTTGATAAACCTCTATATAAGATATATGGTTTTTCGGGCATGTGGTCCTCCAAACCACTGGTTGTTGGACACTTGAGACCTTGAACCATTTCAAAAGAATGGTAGACACCGAGAGTATCCCTGGATGGGTTGATTACTTTGCACTCAATAAACAGGAGTGTTTCATGTGTGAAAATTCATTGACACTATTGACACTGGTCCAACAAAATCGGCTAGTGCGTCGACACCAATGCCATTTTCCCTTAACCCTTCATGCCCAGACCATTGGTGATGCCGCTCGGATAAGAAATGCATGAACAGCCGCCTCCACTACAGCCCAGCTAGCTGCAAGCCCAAACCCTTACAAGCGCTCTCTCGACTTGGAATGTGTGGGGAACAAGAGTGGGTGATGCAAATGATAGAAAAACATGCCGTTTTAAGACCTTGTATGACCTAATTAAGGGCCTTATTGGGTAAGCCTTGGATCAGCGTTGGATAAGGCCTTAATAGGCTCCGAATAAGGCCTGAATAAGGGATGGGAATGCCAAAACACTGTTATTTACATGGTTTTGGACATCTCCAATGCCAAACACTCCAGGGTTTTGGACATCTCCAGTGCCAAACCATCGCTATTCAGGGTTTTGGACATCTCCAGTGCCAAGCCATTGCTATTTGCAGGGCTTTGGACATCTCCAGGGCCAAACCACCCTTCATGTTGACTGCACCACCAATGTGCATTTGGGAGGGGCTGTTCATGTTGTTTCTTATCCAGACCTTATCATTCAGCTAGCAATGCTATCCAGACCTTAAATGACAAGCTCAGCAGCCCCCCCCCTTCAGCCCCCTCCTCACCCCATGAATTTATGTTGCTTCACTCCTTTGACATAGAATTCAATTTGGATTCAATGCGAATGGCAATTTCAGGGATTCCCAATATTGCAAATAATCATTGAACAAATTGATAGGCCAAAATCGAACCAAATTGAAGCAATATCATTCCGACACAGGTCCACCAAAATTGGTGGAAACGCCAACTTTGATACCACATAAAAATAATCAATTCTATTAAATAAATCTAAATCATATTAAATATACAAATTTAGATTATAAATAATCCCCGTTGAAATTTCCTCTACAAAAAGGGAGAATTTGAGGTCCTTATAAAGGGACTATTTTGTAACGAGGTAATTTTTGGCACCTATAGAATACCATGTTTATAGAGAAATTACTTTTCTAAATGGATGGTTATGGATTATATTTTATAAATATAGTATATTAATTTTGAGGCATTATTATTTTAAATACACTTATTTTGGAAAATATTATTTTGTAAATGGCAAAGTAGCTTGGGCTAGAGCTTTTTGTAAATTTTAAATTTAATT